CTTTTTTTATCTCTCTAGTCCCAGACTCTAATTTGTGGGATTTATTACATAGATTTTGCTGCGGCCAAGATTTATACAATTGTTTGTCCCAGATCACATTAAATGAATACTTATTTTTTATTTGCCAGTATAATTGTGGAAACACTGTTTTAATCTTTTACCTTTACCTTTTTACCTTTGCACTTTGAACACTACCAGAAATGGGAACACATGTATGAGTTAGAATATTTTTAACATGCTTAGGCAGCTTTATTTGGACAGGTGTCTTATTATATTACCTTTCTTAAAATACAAATAGTGCTGAATAGCATTCTGTCTGAGGTGGCTTTTTTTCCTATCTGTTTCCTGAGCAGCTGCTAGGCATTTTCTTCTTAATATGATCTAGGATTCTCTGCTGGCAGTAGATAGAAGCTGAATGTAAATGCTTTCCCCTCCTCCTGGAAGCTCAAATGCAAATAAAGGGTCTTTAAGCATAATGAACAGTTGCCTTTTGTCATAACTAAATGCATAAATCAATAATGCAGTACAAAAGTTGTTTGAAGGTAAAATGACAAATCTAAGAAAAATCTGGAATGCTTATTCAGCAACTTGTCAATTTTCTGTGTTCTCTTTCACCTGAATGATAAAAATCTGTGGTGAACTTTAGTGTAAGTTAATTGTGAGAAATTTCATGTGCTTGCAAAAGAAATAAAAGCAGATCTGTTTGCAGTTCCATACAGAGTATTGTAGTAGTATTTTCAAAACTGGAGTAAATAAAGAATAATAGCTAACACAAAAGATTTTAATTACCACTAGACAGGTAATTGAATTTTTTTTCTGAGGGGCCAAAGCTGCATAGTATATCTAATTAAGGAAAATATGCCAGTCCTTCAGAGACTGCATAGTAATTTTCATAGTTGTGTTTTAGCTCCTAATGTTTTAGAAATGGAAAATGGAAGTTATGGAATTTAGAATAGATCCTCAGTGTAATAGATGATGTAGTGATCCTATCCAACAGTCAGATGCAGTGTATTGTGGCATGTTGCAGTTCTCTGTTTTGCTTTGTCCGTGCACAGTTGCTCCATCAGGAAATACTCTAATTTTTTCTAAAGCTGATAATTTTATTGTGTGTATAAAATAAGGGAGAAAGAACTAATGCTGATATACATCAACAGAGTGGAATCAATTAAAACTAAAGGATATTACCTTTGTTACGTGATCAAAAAGGTAGTCATGTTTCCATGGGAGAAATGTTAATGAATTGACTTTCTGTCTCTGCATACAAAAGAATATCTCTACATTCTTTTGATTGCATTTGTTTTCCTTGATCATCTTTTCCATGTCTCCTGGACTGGCTGCTGACCAAATTCTTTGGAAACCTGCTCTACCTTGACCTATCTCATTACTGTCTAGTGATTAAACCTTCATTTCTAGGAGTAGTAATATGTGCCCTCCACCCCTTTCTTCTCCAGAGTGATAGCTTTAATCACTTGTAAATTGAGTGACTTTCTAGCCATTATGGTGTGCAAAATTCTGGTTACATTTTGGTGAGAAATCATGGAATAGTAGAATGGTTTGGGTTGGAAGGGACCTTAAATATCATCTAGTTCCAACCCCCCAGCTTGGGCAGGGATGCCACCCACTAGATCAGGTTGTCCAGGGCCCCATCCAACCTGGCCCTGAACATTTCCAGGCATGAGGCATCCCCAACCTCTCTAGGCAGTCCATTT